GGGAGGGAGGGAGAGAGGGAGGGAAGGGCGGAGGGAGGGAGGGAGGTCGAATTCCCCTGGGGAGGCAGCCCGTTCGGCCCGTTCGCCCGGGCAAATCGCTGGAACGAGCTGCCCTGCGGGAGGCACAAGGGCACAAGCAAGGCAGGAATGGTATTCCCTTCGGTGGCAAGCAACATTGTCACAGGATCTCCGCAGCCCGAGAAATGAGCATTTTTGTGAGGAGCATGACAATAAAGTACTCTAGGATGACGTGGGGTGGCCACATTGCAAAGAGGAAGGGGAGGGGGAGCAGGGAGGAGGGATGGAAGGAGGGGGAAAGTAAGTTTTTGATAGAATTTATTGAAGATAGTGATTTGACACTGGGGCCAAAAGGGAGCGAGTGAATTTTATTACATCGAAATGAGTATTTTGGTTTCATATTTCCATTCGAAAAAGGTGTGGGAATTTTGACAGGATAGGTTAAATAGAGTCTAACAGTTAAAGAAAGAAAATGTTGTTCTGAAGGATTCATCGTAGCGCCTAGTAGTTAGGCAATCATTGGTCTGCAGCACAGGCGTCTTGAGCGGGTGGCCTACCCTGAGGCTTGCAGGGGCTCGTCTGATGAGGGGTGTGGTGGCCAATGCCAATGGTCAGCTGACGCGTGCTGGTCACGTGGTTGGTGGCGGGGAGAAAAAGAGAGACGGAGACAGACAGAGAGTGGCAGAGAGAAATCCCCGTTCGTTCGTACTCTTCAGTAGCTGAGCCCGGGGAAGTGGGCTCTGGGCTCTTTGCACAGATTCGATCGGAACAAGTAAAAGGTCAGGTCAGGACGCGTTTTTTTTTCTGTTAAAATACAAGACGGAAATGAGTAGACCCAGAAAGTTTCTGGACGAACTTCTTTTTTCGTTTCTGCCTCTCTGTGGAACTTCCCTGCTGCTGACTTCTAATACCCCAGCTCCGGGCTCCTTCCTCCGCACACTCCTACCACCCCCTACCCCAACCACCACGCCGCCGCCACCCTGCCGCGCCCTGCCTGTTGCTGCTGATTTTCCGCGTGTGGCGCCTCGCATTACCGTCTGGGAGCGAACGCCCCGCCCCGCCTCGTTCCGCTCCGCCCCGCCCCGCCCCGCCCCGCCGGGAGGGTGGGGAGCGGGAGGGCGGACGGTTCGGGCTGTGTGACCAGGGGGCTGGGGGGGCAAGAATCAACGGGGACGGGAGGAAATTGCTGCTCACGGATCGGAACCAGCGGTCCGCCGCGCGGAGGAGCCCCGAGGGAACTCTTACTCCCCCTCCCACAGTCTCCTAGCACGAGCACCAGGAACCTCCCCCCC